AACTAAGATCCCGCAAGCCACACAGCGCGGCTGGGAAACTTCATTCATTCATTCCTCAGAAAGAAGGAAAATGATATATGTCAGAAACTAGATCTACATAAAGGAAGAGCAATAGAATAAATGAATAAATATATAATAAACATATAAAAGAATCAACGTAGATAAAATCTAATTTTTCTTATTCTTAATATATCTAACAGATAACTGTTCAAACTAATAACAGCAACAAATTATCTGGTGATTATAGCTTATGGGTAAGTGAAACGAATGATAACAATGTTATAAGGCCTGGGAGGGAGTAATTGGGAATACTCTGATATTAGCTACTGGCACTATCCATGAAATGGTATAGTGTTACTTGAAAGAGAACTTGGGTTAGTTGTAAATGTATACTGCAAAAACAAGGGCAACCACTAAAAAAGTTTTTAAAAGTATAATGATGTGCTAAGTGAAATAAGCCAACATAAAAGGACAAATATTGTATGATTTCACTTATGTGCAATAGGCAAATTCACAGAGACAGAAAGTATAATAGAGGTTACTAAGGGCTGGGGGAGGAGAGTGGGAGGAGCCACCCAGGGGAGAAACCCTGAATACAGGGTTTCTGTTGGAGATGATGAAAAAGTTGTGGAAATGGAGAATGTTAGTGGTTGTACAACACTGAGGAAGAAGTTAATTTTTTTAAAACCTTTAACACTGAAGTGTTTTCAATATGCATCTTTTAATTAATTGCAGTCTACTTACAAATAATACCATACCACTTCATGTGCTGCACAAAGATCTTACAACCATATACTCCCAAATCCTCCCTCCTCATCCTTTGTGCTACTATAGTTACATATGCTATAAACACACAATATACTGCTACCATTTTTTTGTTTGTTTCAAACTGGTATCTTTTAGAGACACTAAAAATAAGGAAAACAATGAACTTTATATCTAGCTACATCTATGCCATTTCTATTGTTCTTTATTTCTTTCTGTGGATCTAAGTTTCTGTCTTATTTCAAATTCCTTCTGCCTTAAGAACTTCCTAATACTTTTTTGTAGATAATGAAACCTCTTCATTTTTGTTTTCCTGAAAAGGTCTATATTTCTCCTCCACTTCTCGAAAAAATTTCTGCTGAGGGAAGAATTCTGGGTTGATAGGCTCATTTCTTTCAACACTTTAAAGATCTTACTCCACTGTGCTCTGGTTTGGATAGTTTCCCAAAAAAATTTCACTATAATTCTTATATTTGTTCCTCTATATGTAATGTGTCTTTTTTTCCTCTGGCTGCCTTCAAGATTTTCTCTTTCCCTTTGGATTTCAGCAGTCTGAATATGATGTGTCTGGATGCATTTTATTGTTATTAATTATCCTGTTTTGCATTGCGTGAGCTTATCTGATCTGTGGTGTAGTATCTTTGTTTTCCTTTGGAAAATTGTCTGCCGTTATCCCTTCAAACATCTCTTCCTCACCTCTGCTCTTTTCTCCTTCTGAGATTCCAATTACACACAAATTACACTCTTTTTTTTTAATATTGTCCACAGCTGTTGGGTGTCCTAGTCTGTTTTTTCCCCACTTTTTTCTCTTTATATTTCAGTCTGGGCGATTTCTACTGACTTACCTTCAAGTATACTGATTTCTTCCTTATCTGTGTCAAGTCAACTGATGAGCCTGTCAAAGGCACTCATCTGTTACCATGTTTTCCATTTCTACTAGATTCTTTAGAATAGTTTCCATCTCTGCTGAAATTCCTCTTCTGTTCACGCATGTTGTCCACCTATTCTGCTAGAGCCTCTAACGTATTAATCACAGTTATTTAAAATCCTCTGACAGTTTAAACATCTGGGTCATACAAGTCTGGTTCTATTGAATGCTTTGCCTCTTGACACTTTGCTGTTTTTCTCTTCCTTCTGTGTGTCTCTCATGATTTTTCGTTGAAAGCTAGACATCCTGGGTAGAACAGTCAAGACTGAGACACATAGTATTTACTCCCGGAAATGAGCATGTTTCTTCTTAGGTCTTAAGTTCAAGAGAGAAGGTTAAGTCAATCTAGTTAGGAGTAGAGCTGGGTTTGGGTTTTATTGTTGCTAACAGTTATTCACAGTGTACCATAGGCTTCAGATTCCACTAGCACTGTCTGGTATTTATGCTGTAGGCTCATTTGCTATACGGTTTTTTCCCTCAACATTAGCTGCTCCACCCTCACATTTAGATCTTCTCTTTGTGACTACACCTCTGTTGTAACTACACTTCTCTTTGTGACTGTCTCTCTCTCTCTCTCTCTCTCTCCACACTCTTGCCTCTCCCCCACAAAGAGACCTCTACTACCCACAATTTTCTAACTTGGTAGTGGGGGACAAGCATTCTCTGAGATTCAGCCTCAGTCTTGTGAGATTCTGTGTCCCTTGGTCTTGGGGGTGGAAACTTCTCAGTGATCCTAACCTTCCCCCAACTGTAGGGGACTTCTGATGCTCCAGCATGTATTCCTACCCCTCTCCTACCTACATCCCTTCCTCAATCAGTTTGATGCGTTTGTTCTTGAAGACCCAGGTAAAGCTTAGTGCCTTTCCCACAGTGGGGGTTCTTCTCTCCACCAGACATGCACCATGAGGAAGGCTTTTTCACTATCTTACACTCTTCCTCTTTGCAAACGTGGTTTATCTCTAATTCCTTCTTCAGCCCTGTCTTCCCTCCTTCCTTCGTGCCAAACTTGGTTATGTAAAACTCTTGCCGGTGGCTTGGACATACATTACCATTGCTCTAGAGTTCTACCAGTTTTGCCCATGATCTGCTAGTCATAGCCATCCCTTCTCAACATCTTACTATATCCATGCTTGATTTTTACTATATTTGGCAGCCCTTCACCATATACTGATTCAGGTTTATGGTTAGGCCAAATCCTAGTCCAGAGCAAAGCCCTAACTCTCTTCAATTTTATTAAGGCTCAGAGAGGAAGCTGCAGAAGAAAAGTGTGAAGCTAGCAGAGGCTGGTTCATGAGGTTGAAGGAAAAAGGACATTTCTATAACATAAAAGTGCAAGGTGGAGCAGCGAGTGCTGATGTAGAAGCTGCAGCAAGTTATCCAGAAGATCTAGCTAAGATAATGGATGGAGGTAGCTACACTAAACAACAGGTTTTCAGTGTAGATGAAACAGCCTTATCTTGGAAGAAGATGGAAGAAAATGCCATCTAGGACTTCCATAGCCAGAGAAGTCAAAGCCTGGCTTCAAAGCTTCAAACGACAAGCTGACTCTTTTGTTAGGGGCTAATGCAGATGGTGAGCTTAAGCTGAAGCCAGCGCTCATTTACCATGAAAAAATCCTAGGGCCTTTAAGAATTATACTAAATCTAACCTGCCTGTGCTCTATAAATGGGAAAACAAAGCCTGGATGACCGCACATCTGTTTACAACATGGTTTACTGCATATTTTAAGCCCACTGTTGAGACCTACTGCTCAGAAAAAGATTCCTTTCAAAATAGTACTGCTCACTGACAATGCATCTGGTTACCCAAGAGTTCTGATGGAAATGTACAAGATTAATAACGTTTTCACGCCTGCAAACACAACATCCATTCTGCAGCCTATGGATCAGGAAGTCATTTCAACTTTCAAGTCTGACTACTTAAAAAATACATTTCATGAAGCCGTAGCTGCTATAGTGATTCCTCTGATGAATCTAACAATTGAAAGCCTCCTGGAAAGGATTCACCATTCTAGACGCCTTTAATTACATTTGTGATCCATGGGAAGAGGTCAAAATGAACATTAACAGGTGTTTGGAAGAAGCTGATTCCAACCCTCACGGATGACTTTGAGGGGTTCAGGACTTCAGTGGAGAAAGTAACTGCCAATGGGGTGGAACAGCAAGAAAACTAGAAGTGATGCCTGAAAATGTGACTGAATTGGTGCAATCTCATGATAAAACCTGAACAAACGAGGAGTTTCTTCTTCTTCTTCTTCTTTTTTTTTTTTTTTTTTTTTTTAATCTTTTGGCCACGTCGTATAGCATGTGGGATCTTAGTTCCCCGACCAGGGATCGAACCCATTCCCCCTGCATTGGCACTGTGGAATCCTAACCACTGGACCACCAGGGAAGTCCCAGGAGTTTCTTCTCATGGATGAGCTTTCTTGAGATGGAATCTACTCCTGGTGAAGATGCTGTGAAGATTGTTGAAATGACAACAAAGGATTTAGAATATTACATAAACTTAGTTGATAAAGCAGTGGCAGGGCTTGAGAATTGACTCCAATTTTGAAAGAACTTCTACTATGGGTAAAATGCTATCAAATAGCATTGCACCTACAGAGGAATCATTCGTAAAAGGAAGAGTCAATCCATGGGGCAAACTTCACTGTTGTCTTTTTTCAAGAAACTGCCACAGCCCCCCCAACCCTTCAGCCACCACCACCCTGACCAGTCAGCAGCATCAACATTGAGGTAACACCCTCCACCAGCACAAAGACTACTCACTAAAGGCTCAGGTGATGACTAGCACTCTTAAGCAATAATGTATTTTTAAATTAAGGTATGTACTTTTTTTTAGACATAATGCTATTGCACATTTAACAGACTATAGTATAGTTTAAACATACTTTTATATGTACTGGGAAACCAAAAAATTCGTGTGACTTGCACTTTATTGCAATACTTGCCTTACTGTGGTGGTCTGGAACTGAACCCGCAACAGCTCCAAGGTCTGCCTGTACCAGACTATAAATCATTTTCTTCAACTGAAGAGGTTTTTGGGGTTTTTTTTGACAAAAATAAAGGAATATTCATGACTGGTCAAAAAAGACAGGTTGGCATCGAGTGGCAAAAAATACACAAAACCAAAAGGGTTTTAGAATATGTCAAGTTTTCTTAATAAAAGTGGCAACAGGGGGGAAAAAGAAAAAGCACTCAAATTCTCTCAAGTATTCTACCTTAAAATAACTCTAAACTCTCTACTGATGGTGCAGTGAGTCAAAGAAAAGAAATATAGTAAGTCAAGCAATATAGTCACCGCTCACATGTTTAAAAGACCCGTAGGGAACTGCTGTGGATCCTGTCTCTTCTAGATAGTCTTCCCAGCTTAATTCCACTTCTTCCACTCCAGATCCAGCATCTGGAATTAAAAACAACACAAAAACAGGTAAGGCTGAATTTAAAAAAAACTTAAGGTATAAAAACATAAACTTAGTAAACCTAACTTACAATTTACTTCACAAGTTAATTGACTTTTCACACAAAATAACTAAGTATTCTTTTTAAATAGCAGGTTCCCTTAGTGCACTGATTGTCAATGAATCTCAACACCATAGAGTGTGACATGCTGTCTCCTGCTGGGATGTATCTGGGATTCACCTAAATAGATCACATAAAGCTGGTGAGAGTGTAACTACTATAAACCCTTTGGACTGTAATTTAGTATCTAATGCCAAATATCTGAGATCCTTAATAGGCATTTCAAACTTAAATTTTCAATCTGTTCTTCCTTAGTACTCTCCAACTGAGTAAAAGTTACCAATGGTTGATATTTTGACTCAATCCAAAAACTGTGGCGTTATCCTTACTTTCTTCCCTTTCTTTCACATCTCACATCCAATCCATCAGAAAATTCTGGGTACTACCTTTAAAGATATCCCAAATCTAATCACCTTCCACCATTTCTACTGCTATCTCTCTAAGTGCAAGGTCTAACTACAATACCTTTCACCTTTTAATCACACAATAAAATCTAAAATTTGGGAGACTGCAAAGGCCCTATGTGATCTGACCCCTAGTTCCCGACCCTGACTCTGCATCCCCAGCCAGCCTCTTGTTTGCTCACTGCACTCGAGGGACACTGAGTTTCTTGCCACTCCTCTCTAACCATGTTCTTTCCTCAAAGTCTCTGCGTTTGTTATTTCCTCCACTTAGACTCATTCCCCTGTCATTGACAGCTTTACATCATTCAAGCCTCTACTCAACACCTCTCCAGAAAAGCCTTCCACCAGAAAGGCCTTCCATCAGTGTGCATCTAAAGTAGAAACCTCCAGCCTCTGCTTTCATTATCTTCACGGCATTCATTCCTACCTACAAGCATACCATGTCTTTTTATCTTCCCCATTAGACAATAAACTCTGTGAAGACAGGAGCTTTGTTTTGGTCACTCCTACATCTCTGTCACAGCAGAGACTCAATACATTTTTGATGAGTGAGCAAAGATTCAAACACTCCATTGGAATCCAATAATCCCAATTCACATAAACTCCCTAAGAGTAGGGTTTTGTTCACTGACTATCCCCACTGCCCAAAACAATGCCTGTCACTAGGAAGTCTGTGATAAACAGCTGCTGAATGAGTATACCCTTGGGGAGCCTGTGCTTCACACAAACACAAGGAGGCAAATACAAGGATGCTCACCACAGCACTGTTTCTAACAGCAACAGACAGAAGCAATCAGTAGAAGAATAGATAAATTATGGCAATCCTACAACGGAGTACTACTACATATAGCAGCTGAAATAAATGAACTATATTGACATATATAAATCTCAAAAAAATCACATCAAGTAAAAACAGCAGGTGCAGAATGAAAAGCACAAGATACAATTTAGGCTTCAAAACAAAACTGCAATATAATGTTTATAAATACAAATCAATAACAGTATAAAAAAAGGATGGGAAGAATATACATCAACATTAACAGTGCTACCTTTGGGGAGGGAGGGAAGCAAAGAAGATTAGAAGGAAAGTACAAAAGAGCCTTAAACTGTATTATGATTTAAGAAATGAAAAAACACATGAAAACATGTTCAACATCATTAGGGAAATGCATATCAAAACCACAGTGAGATACCACCTCACACTCATTAGGATGGCTATTATCAAAAAAGCAGAAAATAAGTGTAGGCAAGGCTGTGAGAAACTGGAATCTTTGTGCACTGCTGGTCTCGGAATATAAAATGGTACAGCCACTGTGGAAAAATTTTTGGTGGTTTATCAAAAAATTAAAAATATAATTACCATATGATCCAGCAATTCCACTTCTGGGTATATACCCAAAAGAACTGATAGCAGGGACTCAAACAGATATCTATACATGAATGTTTATAGCAGCAATATTCACAACAGCCAAAAGGCGGAAGTAACTGACTCAAGTGTCCATCAACAGATGAATGGATAGACAAAATGTGCTATATGCATGCAATGAAATATTATTTAGTCATAATAAGGAAGGAGGGGCTTCCCTGGTGGCACAGTGGTTAAGAATCCGCCTGCCAATGCAGGGGACACGGGTTTGAGCCCTGGTCTGGGAAGATCCCACATGCCGCGGAGCAACTAAGCCCGTACGCCACAACTACTGAGCCTGAGCTCTAGAGCCCATGTGCCACTACGACTGAGGCCACGTGCCACAACTACTGAAGCCTGCATGCCTAGAGCCCGTGCTCTGCAACAAGAGAAGCCACCGCAATGTGAAGCACGTGCACCGCAGCGCAGAGTAGCCCTTGCTCGCCACAACTAAAGAAAGCCCTCATGCAGCAATGAAGACCCAATGCAGCCAAAAATAAATAAATAAATTTATATATATATATAAAAAAAGCACCACATCTCTGAAAAAAAAGGAAGGAAATTCTGACACAGGCTACAGGTTACAATGTGGATGAACCATGAGAACATTACACTAAATGAAATAAGCCAGCCACAAAAGATCAAATATTCTATGATTCCACTTACTTGAGGTAGTTAGAGTAGTCAAATTCATAGAGACAGAAAGAAGAATGGTAGTTTCCAAGGACTGGGGGGAGAGGGGAATGGGGAGTTAGTGTTTAACGGGTACAGAGTTTCAGTATGGGAAGATGAAAAAGTTTTGGAGATGGACGGTGGTAACAGTTGCACAATGATGTGAATGTATGTAATGTAATGCCACTGAACAGTACACTTAAAAATGGCTGAAATGGTCAATTTTATGTTATGGATACTTTACCGCAATTTTGAAAATGAAAACAAATATTGGACAATGTTAATTTATTATTTATTAATTTTTAAATTCTGCATTGTAGGTACGTGGGTGTTTCCTATATTGTTTTCATTTCTATGTATTTGAAAATTTTCCCTAGAAATACAACAAACCAACAAAGACTTTATTGGGAGCATCCTGGAAGTATGAGCCAGTAGAAAGTCAACTTCCATCACTAAAACACAACAAGGCTGGACATTCATATTCATGGTCCTTGGCAAGAACCCTAGTCCCTCAAAGAGCATGCTGATTTAAAAATAAACAATAACAACAATAAAAGCAGTGAATGAAAGGACTAAAGTCTCTCATTCATCAAAAACTACCTAAAAACTGAGAAGAAACTAGACTAATGATCTGATAGAAAAGTCAGCAAAACACATGAAAAGAGAATTTATTTATTTTATTTTTAATAAATTTATTTTATTTATTTATTTTTGGCTGCGTCAGGTCTTCGTTGCTGTGCATGGGCTTTCTCTAGTTTCAGCAAGCAGGGGCTACTCTTTGTTGCGGTGCATGGGCTTCTCATTGTGGTGGCTACTCTTGTTGCAGAGCACGGGCTCTAGGTGTGCAGCCTTCAGTAGTTGCGGCACGCAGGCTCAGTAGCTGTGGCGTGGGCTCTAGAGCGCAGGTGCAGTAGTTGTGGCACATGGGCTTAGTTGCTCCGTGGCATATGGGATCTTCCCGGACCAGGGCCTGAACCCGTGTCCCCTGCATTGGCAGGCGGGTTCTTAACCACTGCGCCACCAGGGAAGTCCCGAGAATTTATTTTTTAAAAATGCAAATAGTCCTTAAACATATGGAAACGTGTGCAAATGTATTCATTTTAAAAAAATGCAAATGGAAACTACACTGAGATATCAGATGGAAAAAATTCCAAAGTCTGACAACACACTCCATGGTGAGGCAGGTAATCAAGCAGGTAAAGCATAACGACACAACCCCAGTGAAAGAACTTGGCAATATCTAGCAAAATTACATATGTATTTACCTTTTGATTCAGCAATCCCACTTCTAGGAATCTATCCCAAAGATATGCTGGCAAAAATACAAAAAGACATATGTACAAAGCTACTGATTGCGGTACTATATGTAATGCCAAGACTGGAAACAACCCAAATGTCCATCAATAAGGAACAGGGTGAATAAAATACAGTATATACATCCAGTACTATACATCTGTAAAAAAGAATGAGAATGATTTCCATATACTGATGTGGAATAATCTTCAGTATACACTAAGTGAAACAGCAAAACACACAGCAGTTTTTATTGTAGCTCTAGTTTTTGTATAAGGTGAGAGAGAGATGAATATATATGTAAATGCTCACACATATCTTTTTACATTTTAAAACATGAAAAATAGAATAAAAAGTAATAAAACTTGTTATATATATGGAGAAGAATAAAAAGGATGAATACTATCAGGCTGAAAGTGGGAATGTTGTTATATAATTTTGACTTTGTAACTATGTATATACTTTACACAATTCAGAAACATTTAAATTAAAAATTCTAAAAACTGAAAATGAACTTAAATATGCCTAACTGGTGGTGTCAAAACCGCAAAGAAAACAGGATCCCTTTAAGTCATTAATAAAATACAAAATTTTGACTACAAACCCAAGTGGAATATATCTAAAGGCAAAAACATAAAGAAATCTTAAACTATACACTATTATCCTACTGATATTTGGAAGGTTGGTATTGTTACTGTGAAAAAATTATATGAATATTATAGGATAAAAACAAATAAGTGATGATACTAAAGACATTACAAAACAACACATTTCTAAAAGAAAAGAGACATGAATATAAAATCAAAGAAATAAAAACCCTGTAATTTTAAATTAAAATCGTAAATATCAGATGAAGCCATCTGATTTTCTTTTCTCTTCAAAAGACGTGTATTTCCTAGCCATCGCTATGGATAAGACCTAGAAGAAATGGCAATCTGCTATCAATGAGCACCCCAGCACCTGGATTGTAGACTGTAAATATCATATCCACTTAAAAAAAGAGAGCTCCTCAGAGAAATGGCAAATTGCAAGCTTGGGGCAGGAAATGTGCACGAGGTACCTTGGAATCTTATTATACCAGAAAGCAAGGACTAGAACTATCAAAGATATATGACATCACATCCAAAGAACACAGGAACCAATCCGAAAGAACTTTCATTGGTCTAGAATGAGGCAATTTGATCATCAAATGAATGATGACAGCAATAGATTCAAATTCATATATAAAATATATATGTAATGTATATACGATATGAGTTAATAACACTTGAAAGAAAACAAATCAACTTCCTAAATAGCGGAGTGAGTACCTCAGTGAACCCACGCTTCCAGAAAAGCAGCAAAAATACTGGCTAAACAATGAAAATTGACCATTTCAAAGTTCTGAAATTAACTGAAGGCACAGAACAAACTGAAAAGCATCTATCAAGACAAGTTACAGAACCTCTGTTAGAATAGTGGGATTGTGGCTCCTTAAGTTGGAGCTATTCCCATCTTTCATTCCTCCCCAGCTCAAAACAGAAATTTTAGAACTGAAAATACAATAACCAAAAAACAAAACAAAACAAACTCCTCTATAGATAAGCTCTACAGCAGAATGAGGAGGACAGGGAAAGAAACACCAAAATTAAAGAGCAATAGAAAACACCCAATTTCAACAATGGAGAGAAAAAAAAATGAAAAGCGCCTCACAGAGCTATGCCACAATAGCAACAGACCTAACAAAAGTGTCTTCAGAGTCCCAAAAGAAGACAAAGAGAACAGAGCAGAAGAAGTCCTAGAAGAAATAATGGCTGAAAAGGTTCCAAATTTGTCAAAAGACATAAGCCTATACTTTTAAGAAGGTGAGAAAACTCCCAACAAGATAAACCCAAGGAAATCTGTGCACAGATACACAGAGTCAAACTGCTGAAAACTAGAGACAAAAAATCCTCAAAGCAGCAAAAGAAACAATACCTCTTTTAAGGGGAGTGGCGGGAGACAGAATTCCAATGACAGCAAATTTTCATCAGAAAGGGAGGCCAGAAGGCACAATATTTTTCAGGAGATGAAGAAAAGAACTTTCAACTCAGAATTCTATATTTAGCAAAAATATCCTTTAATAATAAGTGGCAAAATTAAGATATTCTCAGATGAAGGGAAACTAATGAATTCTATCACCAAGAGACCTACCCTAACAAAATGGCTAAAGGAAGTTCTATAAACAGAAATGAAATGACAGAGAAGGAATCTTGGAAAATCAGGAAGGAATAAAGAACAATGAAAAGAGTAAAAATACTGGAAAACATACTACATTTTCCTTCTCCTCTTGAATTTTCTAAATTGTATTTGACAGTTGAAGCAAAACTTTTAACAATATCTGATGTGGTTCTCAAAACATGTAGAAGAATATTTAAGACAAGTTTATTATAAATAAGAGTAGGAAAAGAGACATAAAAATAGGTAAAATTTTTACACTTCACTCAAATTAACAAAATGATAAAACCAGCAGAGTGTGGTAAGTTAAGTATATATAATGTAATACCTAGAGCAACCACTAAAAAGCTATATAAAGAGATACACTCAAGAACACTGTATAGACAAAACAAAATGAAATTCTAAAAAAATGTTCAGGTAACCCACAGGAAGGCAGGAAAAGATAGGAACAAAAAAACAGAGAAAACAGGGCTTCCCTGGTGACGCAGTGGTTAAGAATCTGCCTGCTAATGCAGGGGAAGCAGGTTCAAGCCCTGGTCCGGGAAGATCCCACATGCCGTGGAGCAACTAAGCCCGTGCGCCACAACTGCTGAGCCTGTGGTCTAGAGCTCGCAAGCCACAACTACTGAACCCGCAAGCCACAATTACTGAAGCCCGTGTGACTAGAGCCTGTGCTCCGCAACAAGAGAAGCCACAGCAATGAGAAGCCCGTGCACTGTAACGAAGAGCAGTCCCCTGCTTGCAGCAACTAGAGAAAGCCTGTGCGCACCAACGCGCTAAAAGTAAATAAATAAATGTATTAAAAAAACAGAGAAAACAAATGGACAAAAATGGCAGACGGGGCTTCCCTGGTGGCGCAGCGGTTGAGAGTCCGCCTGCCGATGCGGGGGACACGGGTTAGTGCCCCGGTCCGGGAAGATCCCACATGCCGCGGAGCGGCTGTGCCCGTGAGTCATGGCCACTGAGCCTGCGTGTCCGGAGCCTGTGCTCCGCAATGGGAGACGCCACAGCAGTGAGAGGCCCGCGTACCGGGAAAAAAAAAAAAAAAAAAAAAAGGCAGACGTGAGTCCTAACATATCAATAATTACATTAAGTGTAAATGATCTACACCAATTACAAGACTGAAAAAAAATTTTTAATGACTACATGCTGTTAAAAGAAACTTACTCCAAATATAACAATTTACACAGGTTGAAAGTGAAAGGATGAGAGACTTCCCTGGTGGTGCAGCGGTTAAGAATCCGCCTGCCAATGCAGGGAACACGGGTTCGATCCCTGGGCCAGGAAGACCCCACATGCTGTGGAGCAACTAAGCCCGTGGGCCACAACTACTGAGCCTGCACTCTAGAGCCCACACACCACAACTACTGAGCCCACACACCGAAACTACTAAAGCCAGTCTGTGCGCTCTAGGGCCTGCATGTCACAACTACCGAGCTGCGAGCTGCAACTACTGAAGCCCATGTGACTAGAGCTTGTGCTTCTCAACAAGAGAAGTCACAGCAATGAGAAGCCCACGCACCGCAACAAAGAGTAGCCCCTGCTTGCCACAACTAGAGAAAGCCTGTGCGCAGCAACAAAGACCCAGTGCAGCCAAAAATAAATAAAATTTAAAAAAAAAAGAAAGTGAAAGGATGAAAAGGATGTACCATGCAAACATTAATAAAAAGAAAGTAGGAATAGGTAAATCTGTAGAGACAGAAAGTAGACATGGTTGCCAGAGGGTAGATTAAGCAAGAAATGACTGCTAATGGTTTCTTCTGAGGAGTGATGAAAATGTTCTGGAATTAGGTAGTAGTGTTGGTCACACAACGTTCTGAATATACTAAAAACTACTGAACTGTATACTCTCAAAGTGTAAATTTTATAGTATGTGAATTATATCTTTAAAAAAAGAAAAATGTTTCAATAAAGATGTTTTTAGGAAACCTCAATAGTTAAAAAAATCATTAATTAAAAAGCAAACAAACCATATGATTAATAAATGAGCCAAAAATACGAAGACATGGTACTGAAGGGGATACAGGGATAGCAAGTAAGCACCTGTTCAACATCACCTGCATCACCTGTTCAACATCATTTGCATTCAGCCAATAGGGGAAAGAAAATTAAGACCAGGATGAGCTATCATTACACATCTATCAGCATGACTTAAATAAAAATAGTGACAATACCAAATGGCTGTGAGGATGTGAAGAAATCAGATCTCATATACTGCTGCTAAGAATGCATAATGGTACAGCCACTCTGGAAAGTAGCTGTGCTCCTCGGCATTTATCCCAGAAAAATGAAATTTTATGTATATGATTGTTTATAGCATCTTTATTCATAAAAACCAAAAACTAGAAGCAACCAAAATGTACTGCAACAGATGAACGGTTAACCAAACTGCAGTATATCCACGGAATACTACCAAGCAATAAAAGGGAACAGACTACTGATACATTCAAGAATTTGGATGGATCTCAGGGGCATTATTTTGAGTGAAAAAAGTCCATCTCAAAAAGTCACATACTGTGTAGTTCTATTTATGTAACATTCTGGAAATGACAAAATTATAGAGATGAAGAACCGATTAATGGTTACCTGGGGTTAGGGAATACTGGGGAAGAGGAGTAGGTGTAACTATGAAGGGGCAGTACAAAGGAGCTCTGTGTGGTGATGGAATAGTTCTGTATCTTGACTGAGGTGGTGCTTACAGGAATCTACACGTGATAAAATGACAGAACTACATACATTTTATACATAGATCAATTTCCTAGCTTTTATATTGTACTATACTTAAATGAGATGTAACTTACAGTAGAAACTGAGTGAATGGTACATGAGAACTGTCAGTATTTTTGCAAGCTCCTATGAATTGATAATTACCTCAAAAGAAACTTTTTTTTTTTTTTTAACGAAGTCTGCTCATAAAAGTTACTTACTTTTTCAACAAACATGCTGAGTACATGCCCACCCCCCCCTCAGTGCCAGGTTCTCTGCCAGGTACAAAGAAAGACAACTCATGTCTTCAAAGAGCTTCCCATTTAGTGGTAGAAAGATAAGCCATACAACATAACACAGGTAAGTAATGGAATTCTGCACTCTGAAGAATGGATTTTGCTCAGCAAAACCAATACCTGCATCAATCTGCTGCTCCCCGTTCATTTCCACAGCACATGGGTGATCTCCTCCCCACACAGAGGACAGGCCTTATAGTTATGCTACAATCTGAAGATTACTTGCAGTTCTCAAGCATCTGTTCAATGGGCATCCAAGGGTCCAAATGAAAGTGCTGAAAAATCAAAAAGAACACATTAACAGGCTGCAGCCAGTGTTTATTCAGTCATAAGACATGATACTCTGGTGGGTTGAAAGGGCAGATAAAACAAAAATACACTGGCAGAATAGATGGAATTAGAGAAAAAAAATTTGACACCTTTTCTAATTTTGAAGACTGTGTGTGTGTGTGTGTGTGTGTGTGTGTGTGTGTGTATGTGTAGAGAGAGAAAGAGCTATCAAGATCTTGATATCTAAAAATCACAAAAAATCAGCATATATATGAATCACTACCCCTTCAACTTAGATTATAATACTGAGCACCACTATCCACAAAAACTCTAATTCCTAATGAAATCCTGGGGGGAAAAGTTAGCTTTCAATGCCCTGTCTTAACCAGTAAATAAGATTCAGGATACGACATATTATTTTATCTAGTTTTCCATTTCATTTACCTAGAATATTATGCAGAACCAAAAAGTATCAACTATATTTGTCTACAATTACACTTATAAAGAGAGCTCAATCCCTTCAAAATAACCTCTGAAACCATTTATTCTTTTTTAAAAAGGCTTTATTGGGATATAATTCACATGCCAAAATCTCCCATTTTAAGTGTACAATTCAATAATTTTCAGTGAATTTACAGTTGTATAAACATCACTATAATCCAATTTTAGAATATTTCCATCACCCTGGAAAGAAACTTCATTCCCCATTTGCAGTTCTTCTCCATTCCATCCCTAGCCTCAGGCAACCACTAATCTGCTTTTGTCTCTAGAGATTTTGCCTCTTCTGGACATTTCACACAAATGAAATCATACAACATGTGGTCTTTTGCACCTGACTTCTTTCACTCAGCATGTTTTTGAGGCCCATCCATGCTGCAGCATGGATGAATCTATTTATTCTTGCTTTACATACATGTAAAACAATCTAAGATACTGCCTTTATATATGCCTAACAGATTAGAAAGAGTAAATGCAAGGGGGAAAAGGAGCTGCTGCAGGAAGGCGTGATGTGAACTAACCTCAAGGGCAACAATGCAGAAAACTATAAAGGTGGAATAGCAGCTCAACAGCCACAGCTGCCTGGGTGATACCTACAAGAGCAAACAACTCTGAACTTCTCAAAAAGATTCTGATTCTGTATTAGATCCCCAGTAAAAGATTATCATAAAAATCTTTTAAACACTAAGAAAAAATTAGTTTAAATTTTAACATACTCTTTGAAAAGGTACAAGCTACCTCAAGTACAACAGTGTGAGCTGGGTGATAGGGATACCCAGATTCTAGTCCCAGCTCTACCCATAACTAAATATGCAATCTTATACAGACTATATTATGTCCTTTTTTTTTTGCGGTACGCAGGCCTCTCACTGTTGTGGTCTCTCCCGTCGCGGAGCACAGGCTCCAGACATACAGGCTCAGTGGCCACGGCTCACGGGCCTAGCCACTCCACGGCATGTGGGATATTCCCGGACCGGGGCAAGAACCCGCGTCCCCTGCATCGGCAGGCAGACTCTCAACCACTGTGCCACCAGGGAAGCCCTATTATGTCCATTTTTAAAATCTGTAAAATTAGTGTAACATTTTCAGATTTTAAAACTAAATTTCATATTGAGCATACAGAAAATCTTAATAACAGTTAAAATTATGGATATTCCATTTGAGGTAACTGCCAGTTATCCAAAATCTTTTCATACAACAACATAAGCACTGAAACTCACACTTTTGCAGATAGGAACAACTGAATAGAAACCTGGTAGTGAGATTTAAAGCCTCTAAATAAGCTTTCTTCTCTCAGTTTACTTTCCTACCCCAAGCCCAAAACATTCAAACTGTACCATTCCACCTGCCAATTCATTCACTCCCCATATTTATTAAACACTAGCTCATTACCATTCACTATTCTAGGGAATAAGGGTAAAGCAATCAAGAGAGACTTGGTTCCCGCATTCATGATGCTTATTTTCAACTGGTGTAAGACAATTTAAGCCAACAATTTAAAACAATTATTTAAAGTGCTATGAAGGAAAAGCAGCAGTAGGTGCTAAGATAGAACATAACGGCAGACCTAACCTAAACTAAGAGGTCACTGACAGCGTCCCTGGGGCAGGAAAAGGTATTTAAGCTGACACTAAAGGGGAAACAGCAGTTAGGCAAAAAGGGCAGAAAGGAAAGAATAGTCCAGGAATAGGGAGCAGCACATACAAAGGCTCTAAGGTGGGGAGGAACTGAGAGCAGGCCACTGTGGCTGGAGCATGGGAACCAACCGGGTAAGTGGCACACAATGAAACTGGACAGGAAGAGTAGGAATAACGCAGTTGATACAAACTGGGGATTTACCATAAGCTGGGTACTGTCCAAAGCACTTAAACATATTAACCCATTTAATACTCTCAACAACTGGACATGGTGACATCACTATCATGAGGAAACAGGCACCAAACAGGTACTACCTGCCAGTGTCCCACAGCTAGTTAAGTAGGAAAACCAGGTCTCAAACCTAGCAAAACGTCCACATTATATGTCCTCAAACGCTGTATTATAGCGCCTCTCAATGGGAAGCAACCGAGGGTTTTCTTAAGCAGAGAAAGGATCAAATCTGTGTTTTTAAAAACATCACTCTGGAAAAAAAAAAAAATTACTCTAGACCCAATCAGAGAAACCATAAAGGAGTGACAAAAAAACATAAAAGTATAAAATTTCTACATGGCAAAAGACATCGTAAATAAAGTTCAAAGATAACAGTAGGTCTTAAAAGTTCTCATCACACACAAAAAATTTTTTCTAACTATGTATGGTGACAGATGTTAACTAGATTTATTGCAGTAATCTTCACAATGTATACAGATATCAAATCATTATGCTGTATGCCTTAAACTAATATAATGTTATATGTCAATTTTACTTCAATAAAAATAAATAAATAAGACAGTTGAGATGGGTGAAAATATTAACAACATGTAAGATAATGGATTAATTTCTATACAAGCTCCCATAATTCAACAAGAAAAAAAGAAAAGAAAAATCGGTAAAATATGTAATTAATCCACACTAAAAATGAGAGTTAATACTTACAAAAATATGCTCAATCTCATTAGTAGTGAAATAATGAGACTTTTTAATCAAATACTATTTTTTTCACCTTTCCAACTGGTAAAATTTTTAAAACTGAAAATCTCCAGAGTTGGCAAGGAAGACAGACAAAGGGAGAGAGTATATATTGGTACTACCTTTTTGGAGAGGAATTTAATGATAAATAATTTAACATATAAAGATTTAAAAGACAAACTCTTTGAGCAATAATTCTACTGTTAAGAACCTTTCACACAACACAATATGTGGAATCTAAAAAAGTGATACAAATGAACTTATTTACAAAACATAAACAGACTCACAGACATAGAAAACAAACTTATGGTTACCAAAGGGTAATGGCAGGGGAGGGATAAATTAGGAGTTTGGGAATAACAGATACACACTATATATAAAATAGATAAACAGCAAGGACCTACTGTAGAGCACAGGGAACTATATTCAATATCTTGTAATAATCTATAATGGAAAAAAATCTGAAAAAGAATATATATATATATATATATATGTATGTATAACTTAATCACCTTGCTTTACACGTGAAACTAACACAACATTGTAAATCAACTATACTTCAATAAAAAATAAATTTACAAAAAGCACTCTTGAACAACAACAGAAGAACCTTTCACACAACACAAATGTGTGGAAGGCTACATAGCCAATGATGTTTGCTGCTGTATTATCTGTAACAGTGAGAAACCAGAAACAGCCTATATGTCCATCAAATGCGAATGAGATGGCTACAGACATTATGATACACCTACACTAGGAAATAATTTGTAATCATTAGAAGAATTCAAGTAGATCCATAAAAGCATATGGGAATGTCATCTATATTCTCAATGAAAAAAGCAAGTGAAGGACAATTATTACTTATATTAACTTTTCAAAATCCTGTGTCCATTGTTTACTTGGCTATGTGACTTTCAACAATCACCTTATTGGTGCCAATGACATCACTAATAAAATGGAGTGTAACAGTACTGTACCTACCTCACCGGACTGATGGGATAAGTAGGATAAACAATGAAGTGCACGTAGCATAGAGCTATATAGTAAATGCTGAGTTAATGTTAACTGTTATGCAATATTGACAGATTCAAGTTCCTATTGCACTAACTTAGGGTCATTTCTACATATAGTCTTGAAACTTCATGATGGGTCTGATGTAACAAAATTATCTGTTGGTTTACTAGGTTGTGAAGATGTCATCCACTGCTTACACTCATAAACTCTTGAAATACGTCAGCATATTTTGTGCAGCGAGCCACATAGTGCAATAATAATAATAATTATTATTAATAAATCTTCAAAGCCAAAAAGACATGAGTTGGGGGAAATGCAAGTCTTATGTAGCTGAAACTAAGAATGTAACTTTTAAAAAATTAAGTTATAATTAACACACATTATTACATAAGTTTCAGGTGTAGTGATTCAGTATTTTTTTTTTAATTTTTCTTTATTTATTTTTGGCTGCATTGGATCTTCGTTGCTGCGCGCGGGCTTCCTCTAGTTGCAGTGAGTGGGGGCTACTCTTCGTTGTGGTGCGCGAGCTTCTCATTGCAATGGCTTCTCTTGTTGCGGAGCATGGGTTCTAGGCACGTGGGCTTCAGTAGTTGTGGCTCGCAGGCTCTAGAGCACAGGCTCAGTAGTTGTGGCGCATGGGCTTAGTTGCTCCGCAGTATGTGGAATCTTCCCGGACCAGGGCTCGAACCTGTCTCTCCTGCATTGGTAGGTGGATTATTAACCACTGCGCCACCAGGGAAGCCCCCAGTATTTTTATACATCACTGCAAGAAGACCATTTACCATCTGTCAACATACAAAGTTGTTAAAAAGGGCTGTGACATTTTTTTGATCTTACAGCATCACTTAGATTTTAATAAATAATCAGTTCATTGTCTTAATAGGAT